TGAGTACTGAGTAATGAGTAGTGGCTGGGGAGTAGGGAGTAGTGGGTAGCGAGTAGCGGGGAGGAAGTAGCGATCAAGGACTTGTGAGTAGTTTGTAGCGAGGAGTGAGTAGCGTGTAGTGAGTAGTGCATAGTGAGTAGTTAGCGGGGAGTAGGGATGAGGGAGTAGACAGTAGCGGATAGCGAGGAGTGGGTGGTGGGTAGTGAGTAGTGCGTAGTGTGCAGTGAGTAAGAGAATAGTGAGTAGTGAGTGGTGAATCGAGTAGCGAGTAGCGGGTAGGGAGGGGCGTGTGGGGAGTGGCGAGTGGTGAGTAGTGAGTAGCGAGTAGGGCGTTGTGAGTAGCGAGCAGCGAGGAGGGAGTAGTCAGGAGCCACTAGTGAGTAGTGAGTACGGAGTGGTGCGTAGCGAGTAGGGGGTAGCGAGTAGTGAGAAGTGAGTAGTGAGTTGTGAGTAGTGAGCAGGGAGTTGTGAGTAGTGGGTAATGAGTAGTGACTTGGGAGTGGTGAGTAGGGGGTAGGTCGTAGGGAGTAGTGGGAGCGAAGTGAGTCGTGAGTAGTGGATGTATGAATGGTGCGTACTGGGTAGCGACTAGGGCGTAGGGAGTAGTGAGTAGTGAGTAGTGTGTTGTGAGTAGTGAGTAGGGAGTAGTGAGTAGTGAGTAATGAGTAGTGGCTTGGGAGTACTCTGAGTACCTCAATAGTTCTGGTCCCCCGGACTACAGGGGCCCCCCGGCTTTCAAGGACCCCTCCCCTGGACTACAAGGGCCCCCCCCCCCGGACTACAGGGACCCCCCCCGGACTACAAGGACCCCCCCCCGGACTACAAGGGCCCCCCACCCGGACTACAGGAACCCACCCCCGGACTACAATGACCCGGAAGCAAGGAACAAAAACTTGACAAGGGACAGGAAACGAGGAACAAAACTTGAAAAGCGAAAGGGGGCGGGAGGGGGAAGGGAGCACTGAGGGGCGGGACGTCGCCCCGCGGTCGTCGAGCGGGACGTCGCCCCGCGAAGATCACACCGCCCCTCCCCCCCCCCCGGGCTACAGGGCCCCCCCCCGGGACTTCAAGGACCCCCCCCCCGGACTACAAGGGCCCCCCCCCGGACTACAAGGGCCCCCAAAAAACCCACCCCGGACTCAGGGGCCCAACCCCCGGACTACAGGGGCCGCCCCCGGACTATTGCGCACCCCAGAACTATTGAGGTACTCAGAGTAAAAACGCATTCGGGGGTGGCGCTGGGGTGGGGGCGACGTTCCTATGGATTGCGCGAGGTCTGGCAACTCCGAGGTGAGTTGTGGCTAGGCCTGCGCATGCTGCCGCGGGGGGAGGCAACCTGGCTCCGTCCTTGCCGTCGCCGCTGCCGCCGCCGCCGCCAATGAACACTGACATTGGCCATCGCGCGTGCCGCAGCTGCGCTGGGGTGCGAGCGGGTGGAAAAGCGGGGCGCGCGCGATCCCCTTCCGCGCGCTTGCACCACCATCTCAGTTACAGTCGGGGCCCTGCAGAAGGAACCCTTTTCGTTGGGGAGGGGCTCCGCGTTCCTTAAGTGTTTCACAGCTCGCCTCAGGTTTTCCTTATGTTTCCGATAGGAAATCGAAGTATAACTTGTGGAAACGGGACCTCGTTCCTTATTTTGGGTTCCTTAGGTCAACGCCCCGACTGTACTAGTAGTCTTCGCTTAGCTGACACACGTGTACATGATGTCCGTGCCCGTGAAAATCCAAGCCGCTGAGACAGTATATCAATTGACGATGGTTAAATCATCTACGAGTCATACTGTCAGGATCTTCTGACCATCTGGCGCACGCCTTCAGAGCATGAGGCCTGCTAGGGGCCTCTTGAGGTTTGTCTTGGGGTAGCTCGGATATATCTTGGGGCCTCTTGGCGATGTCTTGGGGTCACCTTGCGGCCTGCTACCCATTGATTATTCTCCTGGGCCGTGGTTGGGCTCTTTTCGAGTTATCTTGGGCTTCTCCATGAGTGATTCTGGGTTTCTTCTGCGCCCTCTTTGAGCCCTTCCTTCCAACCCCACTTAGGAACCATATTGAGCGATGTTGGAGCCATGTTGACGCTTCAGATCGCGCGTCCATCTTGAGCCTGAAAATCCCACGCGCATCATAACTGTACAGAAACCGCAGCCATTGGAAAACTGAAGAGGTTCTTGTGATTTTGGCTTCCGGGGGATTCAGATGCGGCCGTCTGAAACTATTTTGGGCCACGTCGGGGCCATCTTGGGGCCTGCCTCCCATTTATCCCCGTTCATGGCCAGTCTTAGGCTCGGCTAGAGTTCCCTTGGGGGGATCCTGAAGCTGTCCTGGGGGTCTTGGAGGCCGCCGCCAGAATCGCAATATCTCACTCGAGTTTCCCGGGTCATTGCTGGGGTAGTTTAAGCCCGGGGACCCACATGGGCCACCCTGCGCACGTGAAGTTTTAATTTACAGTAATTTATGAAACTTTCGCCGCAGATCTTAGCACGCCTTTGACCCGCTTTGGCGACGAACGTGTATATTAGATGTTGCATGCTAGCGTCTGCGCGTCGGGTCCCGAGCGGGACCTCCATGTGTGCGCGCTCTGTAGCTCCCGCGTGGCTTACTACTTTTCAGCTGCCCCGTTCCGGGCACCCTCCCAGGCGCGTGGGTGGCCACACTACGATTCGCGCCGGCGCCGTCCGTGAATGCTTGGGGATTGCTCATTGCCACACGGCGCCGGCACGAATCGTGACGTGACCAAGGGGGGGCAGAGGGCGGGGGCTGGCGTTGTTCTCTGGCGTTATCGCGAGTAATGAGAAACGTGCGCGTGTCCTGCGCGCCGCGCCGTGGGGCGTGGCATCTCTGGGGCCTCGATGCCTGCGTGGCCGCCAGGCCCCCCCTGGTGCCGCCGGCCTGTGTGGGGGGGCTTCTGGTGGGACGCCCGCGCTGCGACGTGCCCTGCTGCCGCCGCCCGTCTCCTTGCTGAGGAGGGAAAAAAGCACACAGACACAATTAATCGTCGAGCCGTCTCTTTTTTCAGGAGGGAAAAAGACACACAGACACACTTCATCGTCGAGTCCAAGGAAAATATGGGAAGATATGGGAAGTGGGGGGGGGAAGACAGAGACCCAGAAGATATGGAAAAATACTGGGAATCTGTTTATTTGTGTGTATTTCTTTGTGTGTCCTGGGGCCCCTTCATTTTCGCGCGTCCGCCGGAGCTGCTTCCACAGGGGGGCCGGCTTCTAGCGCTGGCGGAGCGTGCGGCAGCGCTTCCTGCCACGAGGAGCCTCGGTCGCTTCGGTGGGCGACCTGTGGGCCACGAGCGCGGAGGTTCCGGGCCTGGTTCGGTGAGGACGCCTGGGGGGGGACATCTCCTGGCCCCCCTGGCGAGGTTTCTGGGCCCCCTGCTTGCAGAAGGCGTGTGCCGAGCACGTCCTCAGAACGGTACGACGGCACGGCAGCTGCAGGACACGTTCCCCGATGGTGCAAGCGCACGTGCGCAACGTGTGCGCTGGCCCAGGCCCGCTTGCGTCCTTATCGCCGAGCGCGTTCCACTACTCGCAAAAAGTGCCCACTCGCAAACCTCCGACAAAAAACACTTGTCTGCTCTGATGTAATGTATCGTAGACCCTCCGCGGGGAACCAGGCCATCGGCGAGTAGTTCCTTTGCGAGCAGTGGAGCCCGCTTGCTTACTCCAGATGTCGTAATAAAAGGGAGGGGCTCTGGACCCTCCAAGACGTGCCATTTCAGACCCCCCCCCGTGGGAGAACCCTCCACAACATCGTCCCCAGACCCCCCCAGGCCCTCCAAGATAGCCTGGAAGAGACCCCCCCAAAAAAATGAGACCCCCCCCTCCCTTTCTTACGAAATCTGGAGGAGGAGGTCCTTTCAGCCTCCGACACACCTCCGAACTCGCTTGTTTACTCCAGATTTCGTCCTTGGAGGGCTATCTTGGAGGGCCTGGGGGGGTCTGGGGACGATGTTTCGGAGGGTTCTCCCACGGTGGGGGGTCTGAAATGGCTTGTCTTGGAGGGTCCAGACCCCCTCCCTTTTATTACGACATCTGGAGTACCTCGGGAGGGCCTCCCCTGGTCCTCCCTGCCCTCCGCGGATCCCCTCGCCGCTGCTCTTCGAGAGATCGGCGGAGCGCAGCCCCATCGCGAGGCCCCCCCGCGGCCCCTTGCCGCGCACCCCACCGCCCCACCTTGCAGCTCCCTTTCTGGGTAGTCGAAGGCCATCCTATTGGGATGGGATCCTCCTAGACCATCTTGGGCCCCCCTGGGAGCCTCTTGGGCTGTCTTGGGGCGATACTGGAGGCCTCCTAGGCCGTCTTGGGGTGTCGGAAGCACGAAATGACGTGACAATCCTTCACCAACCTCGGAAAAGAAGCTCATTTGGGGATTCTCTTGGGGCTCTCTTGAGGCGTTCTGGAGTCGCCTCGGGCCATCCAGAGACTGGGTAGTCGAAGGCGAGACTGTCAGATTAAATTGGGCCCCAAGGGCCAATCTGGCCCGGCCAAACTGGAGGATTTGGGTTATTCGCCAGGCCGGCTTCGCGCTGGCTCCCTCGCCAGATGGCCCCCGCTTGCCAGATTGGGCCTGCCAGATTGGCGCCAGATTGGCTTCGACTACCCAGCCTTTGCCTCCGAGTCGCGCAGCCGTCTCCCAGCGTGCGGGACGGCGTGTCGGAGGCTGACAGGACCTCCTCCTCCAGATTTCGTAAGAAAGGGGGGGGGGTCTCCTTTCGGGGGGGGTCTCTTCCAGGCCATCTTGGAGGGCCTGGGGGGGTCTGGGGACGAGGTTTCGGAGAGTTCTCCCACGGGGGAGGTCTGAAATGGCTTGTCTTGGAGGGTCCAGACCCCCTCCCTTTTTATTACGACATCTGGAGTACTTTGACACGTCGATTAGCGAACTGGCCGTTTCCGGTTCGCGAGAGGGCGCCGCGGCCGTCGTGCTTGCGGGTCCAGGTCCGTCGGTTTCGGTACTGGGCCGTTTTCACTAAATGGAGGTTTACTTTACCGAATGGAGGTTTGCCCACCGCCGAGTGTGGAGGGGGGCAGGGGTGGTCGCGGTCGCGTTTTCCTCTGTCCTCCGCCCTGCTGTCGTTCGCCCGCGAGCCCGCGAGGTGGACTCCGTCGCGGAGGCGGAGCTGAAGGCCAAGTACAAGGCGACCGGGGGGGGCGCCGAGCGAGGAACGGGTGGGCCGAGGGTTGCTTCCGAGATACCCCTGACCTCGCGCGAGGCCGCCCACCTGATGTCGTGACAGTCGCGTGACAGGTCAGGCAAGAGAGCAAGAGGGAGGGGGGAGGCGACGGGGACGATGCGGTCGACGAGGGTGCTGGCTGTGGTGTTTGCTGCGACAGCGACGAGCCGGAGGATGGGGATCAGGAGGGGTGAGGGGAAGAGGAGGAAGGGGAGGAGCGGAGGTGCGGGAGCTCGGAGGGGCAGGAGGCGAAACAGCAGCAGCAGGGCAGAGTGAGCAGGGATCTGACGAGGAGATCCCGGGTGAGGACGGGGTCGGAGATGGGTGGAAGAGAGCGGTCAGCCGTCCAAAGTCTTGACTGATATCCTGGGAGCCAGGCGCTGAGGTGTTGCATGCTTCAATTCTCCACGCTGCTCGAGGTCGGCCAGGCTTTCCGAGGGGCAGACAGTGTCGCCTTTGGCCGGATCGAATCGTCCGTGCATTTCTGAAGCATTGCTGGTATGTTGCGGGCTGCAGGAAGTTCCAAAGACGATTCAATTGTCTCCCAAAACGACCCAAGAGACGCACGGGAGGCCTCGCAAGAGGCTTCACGACGCAAGCGAGAGACAGCATACAGGAATATTGCTACAACATCGTTGAACACACGTCAACGATCACGACGTATGACTAAGACAGAAACTGAAACGTGGTCGAAATGATTGGGTGCATTGCAGCCGGTCCTGCTGGCTCAGTCGGCTTTTCGTCGCTCTCTACCTCCGTCACTACCTACTCCTTCCCTCCTTTCTCCCTCCTTCCTCCCTCCATCCTACTTTCTTCATTCTTGCCTCTCCCCATGCCCTGAAAGTGAGGTGAAAGACCACTGCACCTTTCTGGTCTTCAAGGAGTTGCCGCCCTTGCTCTCCTCTTACGGCGGAGTTCGTGCGCGGCTGTTTTTGTCGCGTAGCTTGCGCGCCGCCTCCTCCCAGAAGGAAAAAGGAAACGAACAGGATGACGAGGAGCAACATGCGGAGGAGGGGGCAGGAGGGCGAGGATGAGGGATTGACAGGGAGCAGACCTCTTCCTTTCTCATTCCTCCCTCCTCCTCCTCTCCTTCTCTTCTCCACTCGCCCTCCTCCTCCACCCTTCTCCCTCCTGCCCCCCTCCCTCATCTCCCTGCTCCCCCACCGGCTCCTGGCTCGGCTGCCACCCTGGGGTGCGCTTCGAGGCGGGAGGCAGGGCCTGGGCATCTCAGCTTCGGCACACGGAGCCAACCCCAAAGGACCCGGAGCCCGTGCGGCGCGGCGGCAGCGGCGGCAGCGGCGGCAGCGGCGGCAGCACCGGCACCGGCCGCAGCGGCGCCCAGAGCTCGGGAGGGAGGCTCCCCAGCGCCTGCCTGCCTGCCTCCGCTCGCCCGGAGCAGGACGGCAACGAGACGGGCGCCTACACGGGGCCCTACGGGAAGGCGGCCCTCGGCGTTGGGGTTCTTGCCTGTGAGGGGTGCGAGGTGCGAGTGGAGGACAGGCAGCTACCCATTGGTCGTTCCAAGTTTGTATTCATGGGTCTGCAGATTCCAATCTGCCTGAGGCGTCTGCGGGAACCCAACCCATTCTCCACGCCTTTCTGCCGCAGGCTCCTACCTGCTTCCTCCGTCCGATGCCCACCGTGGGCAGTTTCGTGATCCAGAGGAGAGGCGAACAGGTTTTTTATTAAGGGTGCGCTTCGCGCGACGAGTGGTCGTTTTGAGCTAGGAGTGAAGCTCCGTATTTTTGCCTTGGATCGCCGCTGCCTTCAGGGAGACGAATTCGCTGTTCCTGTGATCAGTACTGGAAATATCAGGCGGAGATTGCGCGACAGACTCCGACGGACATGCGACCTGGTGTCCGTGCGGCTCGGGGTCGCCTGCCAGAAACACCCGTGCGGCGTGGTGGATAGACCTCCTGCCCTGACACGTCGATTCGCGAACTGGCCGCTTCCGGTTCGCGAGAGGGCGCCGCGGCCGTCGTGCTTGCGGGTCCAGGTCCGTCGGTTTCGGTCCTGAGCCGTTTTCACTAAGGGGAGGTTTACTGAAGGGAGGTTTGTCCACCGCCGAGTGTGGAGGGGGGGCGAATCGCTGGAAGGACGTTCCGGCCGGGCTCCGCCGGAACGTGCTGAGAAGAGCCTGTGGGAAAAAACACACGTGGGAAAAACACACACTGTGGGAAAACACACACTGTGGGAAAAAAACACACTGTGGGAAAAAGCAGTGTTTTTTCTCCCCACAGTGTGTTTTTTCCCACAGACGGGTGGTCGCGGTCGCGTTTTCCTCTGTCCCCCGCCCCGCTGTCGGCCGCCCGCAAGGGCCCGCGGAGGGGGAGCGCCGGGCAGCCCCCCGCCGCGGGAGTGCCGCGGATAGGTGCCGCCGCTCCTCCTCCGGGAGACCCCGCCATCGAGTGGGGCGGCCCCGGAGCGAGCCAGAGGCAACACGCGATTGGTCGGGCCGGGCGGAGGGGTACAGTCGGGGCCCTGAAGAAGGAACCCTTTTCGTTGGGGAGGGGCTCCGCGTTCCTCAAGTATTTCGCATCTTGCCTCAGGTTTTCCTAATGTTTTCGATCGGAAATCGAAGTTCAACTTATGGAAAATATGGGCCCCGTTACTTATTTAGGGTTCCTTAGGTCAACGCCCCCACTGTAGGGCAGGGGAAGTCGGTTCACGGGGTCGGAGTAGATGGGGTCGGAGGATCGCGCCGCATCGTTGATACATCGGCGATGCGGCTCGATGCGGAGCCTTCGTTTCCCCATGCCGACGTCGCCGATGCGTCGCCGACGTCTCTAGTGCATCGCCGATGCATCGCTGATACATCGGCGATGCATCGCCGATGTATCGCCGGGTGCTCTTGTGTCCTGTGCATCGCGGTTCATCTAGAGGGAGCGTGCTGCGAAATACTGTCCAGATGTCTGAACGATGTTCAAACATGCTTTAGATATGTAAACAACATGTTTAAACATGTCTGGAACATTTTCCCGACATTTGAAACACATGTTAAATTCAATGACAGGACTGCTAGAGTGTCCACTGTCGTGGCATCCACATGGGTAGGGCAGGGAAAGGGGGAGTGCGAGGCGGGAGTTTATCCTTAAGTCGGGTTTGTCCCTCCACAGGAGGAATAGTCAAAAATAGTCAACAAAGTAGTCGGGGGACGTTTTTTTGACAATTCTTGACCACGTGTTTTTTTGTTCACCCAAAATCCCCCCTGTCGGGGGACAGGCCCGACCTCAACTTATCCATATCCACCGCCTGGGAACCGACGTCCTGGTGCCCCGGCGGGCGGTGGAGATGGACATATCTTGGCGCCCAGGGGCCCGAATCTGTCCATACATCCACCGCCTGCGGAGGTCCGCGAAGATCGACCCCCAAGGCGGTGGTTATGGATAAATTCCCGCCTCGGAGGGGGTTACGACTTCTGCTGCATGCAGCTGGTTTCGACCCCGCCGCCGGGTCCATTCCTCGCTGCACGGGCGCCATCACGGCGCCTTCCTGGCGCCAGGAGGTGCCGGGAAGTGCAGCTGCGTGGGCCGATCTTCTACCCTGCCCCTTGGTATCTGTCGTCCCCCCCGAGGTTGGGAAAGAGAGAAGGAGGGAGAGAGAGAGAGAGGGAGGGAGGGAGGGAGAGAGAGAGAGAGAGAAAGAGAGAGAGAGAGCGCGCGACCGCCTTGCCGACGCCGGGAAGCGCACCGAGTCGGCTCGAAGGCGACGGAGTGAACACATCGGCAGCAACGACCAGGAGACCAGATCTGTTCAGCAGTGCTCAGGAGGGGGAAAAAAGCACACAACGGGGAAATATGGAGAATCCTGTTTTTTGTGTCTACTTATTTGTGTGTCCCAGGGCCCCTTCAAGTACGATGTCTCGCATACTATTGTTCTGTGCTTCTGTTGGTGTGGGCCTCTCTGGGCGGTCCTCACCTCTGCGGCCCCGATGTGTGCCGGCGAGCAGGCGGACATCGTCGACTACATGCACAGCCTCATGCTGCCACCTGGCGTAGGCACCGTGTGCACTTGGCCTGCTTGTCGCACAGATAGGTGTGAGCATTTGCTCGGGGGCAGAAGCATGAGTTCTCTGCCCTCGATGCGCGGACACTGCTCGCGTGCGTTCTGCGCCCCTCCTTTCGATTCCTGTACCTGGGTGCGTTCCCCTCCTGTCCCTTCCCTGCCCTACAGTCAACGCGCATAGTAAGGATGGACAACCTTCCCAAGGGTACCCTTGCATCCTTGCCCTTCGGCCCATCCTTGGCCGCTCTCGTTGGCCGCGCCCCGCTCGAAAAGCTGCGAAGTGGGCGTCCAAGGCCCTTGCGTCCTTATCGCACATCCTTATTCCACGGGTTGACTATCTCCCGCTGCCCCTCCCGCTTCCTTGCATCGCTCCGCCTTCCGCCCCCCGATCCCGCGTCTTGGTGGATGCTGCCACTCGGGGTCCAGAGTCTGGTGATTCTTGTCGCTTCGCGTGCAATCTGCCTTGATTCGGAGGTTGACAGACCTCCAACCCTGACACGTCGATTAGCGAATTGGCCGTTTTCGGTTCGCGAGGGGGCGTCGCGGCCGTCGAATTTGTGGGTCCAGGTCCGTCGGTTTCGGTCCCAGGCCGTTTTCACTAAGGGGAGGTTTACTAAAGGGAGGTTTGTCCACCGCCGATTGATTGGTAGGTCGACCATGTTGAGTCGAGGGTATCCTCGTGTCCTGTCTGCCCCGGCCTATGCAACCCGCAAGTCCTTGGTCTTCCCAGGCAACGTTGCCGTCGGAAGAGTCTTGTGTCCTCTCGGGTGTCCTGTCCAATCAAATCCGACTGTATCCCCATCAGCCCATGTAGAAACGATGCCCAGAAGGGATGTCGGGAGAAGGGTAGTGTAGCAGCAAATCGTCTGACAAAGAGGCCGGTAATGGTGAACACAGATTACGTTTTGGAGCCTCTCGTAGGCCTCTGGGAATCATCATGGAATTCTCTTAGGGCCTTTTTGGGAGCCGTTTGGTCCTCTTGGGGCTCTTGTTGGGCTCTCTTTTGGGGGCCATCGAGCAAAACAGGTGGCGGCGCCGATATGCGTTACCCTTCTGGCGCCTGAAGTCAGTCTGTCAGCCAAGTTTTCTATTTTTTTTAGTCAAAATGGCCATCACCTTCCCTTTCCCACATCCGTACCTCCCAGAGCTACAATGGCAGATGCCGCGAGCAGTGACTCCAGTTGCAGTATAACGTGAGAGTACTTCTCGACGCCGGCTCGTCAGTCCAATGCACGAGATGTGCGACGGCCCGCGCGCCTACCAACACCCGAACCCGGACATCGACGACAGTCGTGATCGGAGGGTTGTTGTCGTTCGAGGCTTGTGAGAATGTGAGGGGGTGGTTGGGGAACACTTTCTGGGACGGGTATGGCCCACAGCCGAAAGATGTGTACACGAAAGGGGAAGTCTGGGGCGTGGTTTTCGTTAGATTTCTTCGCACGGGGGATCGACACGCGGTTGTGGGTCTATTTCCCAAAGCATCTTTCCAAGAAGGTGGCAGCAGAGTCTGGGCGAACGCGGACAAGCCCTTCCCCAAGCGGATGATCACCTCATTCGCGTTTGGCTGGACGCATCTGTTGAAGCAGTGCTGTTATAGGGCGACGGTGATCTGGGCCTAGCTAGGAGCGGAGATGGTGGCCCGCGCTACGATCAACGGAGGCAAACTCAACGTGGCTTACGGTCATGGTTCGGAGTCGAAGCAGCGTACCCCCGATTTCTTGAACCTCATTGTTACACTTACCGACAAGCTCGCTACCGTTGCTTCGCCAAGGGGACTCCTCCAGGGCACTGTGGCGGACATCGCAGCAAGTAGGGGCGCCAGCGGGGCGGCAGCATTGACGTTTCGCACCGGAGCTCTGGGGCCCTTTCTTTTTGCCGGGCGCGCCAGCCAGACCCTCACGATACTGCAGTGCATGTTGGGCCGAGTAGTTTAACCGAGAGGCCTCTTGCCGCAGACCGGGGCGGCCGTTTGCGCCCTCCGGCGCGGACTTCATGATTGTTTCGTGGAGCATCGAGGGGTACGCCATTGCAAGGCAAGTGGAGCACGAACTATCATGGAAGGAGGGAGCATGGGTGCATTCTGCACTCAAAATGCATGGCAAACTTTAGCAAGCACTTTTGTCACAGATGCGGGGTAATTGTTTGTGCTACCGGGGGGGGCCTGCGAGCATAGTATGTAGAATCGAGGACCAAGCAGGCGTCGGTTTCATAGTTGTGCCAGTCGATGTGAAATCCATTAGTTATTGCATTCCGTCAAGTGGCTTCCCGAGTTGCGTCGCTGAGACTACGAGTTCCCAGTGGCTAAGCCGCAATATTTTCAGCCTGCGTTCCATATATTGGCACGCATATTACTAAACAGGCAAAGCTGTTGTTCAACGATCATCCTGATTTGGTGTGGGAGACATCGGCACATGGACCTCAGGTCATTTTTGGAGATCTGAACGCAAGGCTACGCGAGCAGTTCGTCGGCGAGTCGAGCGTGGTAGGACCGCATGTGTTTGCGCCACCAGACGTGGACTCAGGCTAATCGGTATCTGTTGATGGAGGCGTGCGCCCATCTTACCATGTGTTTGGCAGACACTGTCTTCGAATTGCCAATGGACTGCCGTTCCACGTGCTACGATGTGGGCCGCCCAGCTGCGGAAATTGTATCTCTACATGCCCGCTCGCAGATCGACATCTTCGTGTGTGAGCAGGGGGGGGCCTCGTACAGGCGCCGCGTCGTTTTGTCATTTTCTGCTGCATGCTTCTCTCGAGGTGGAAGTGGTGAGAGGCCCGGTCGAACACATTCCCCCGCGGGACATGCGGTCGCTGCTGGAGCCTGGATTGAGGCTCTGTTTTGGACACTCTTGCAGCGACGCGACGGAGCAGTTTGAGGGCGCCGCGCCAGACGAGGGAGACGCGAACATCGCGCGGTCCCGTCATGTGGATCGCTTCCGCGGGCAGCATATGGGCTGTCATCGACCGAGATGACCTCGGACAGGCAGCCGCGCTCTCAGTTTGATCTCGAGGAGAAGGGGGGCCAGGCGCCAAGTTGGGCGCGTGCCGCTTGGGAGCAGCAATCAATTTCAAAGCAGATCCGCGCATCCGTCGGTGGTGTCCGTGTTCACTGGTTTCGAGACATTACATTCGGGGCCTTGACCTAAGGATCTCAAAATAAGGAACGGGCCCCCTTTTTTCCATAAGTCAAACTTCGATTCCCCATCGAAAACATAAGGAAAACCTGAGGCAAGCTGCGAAACGCTTAAGGAACGCGGGGCCCCTCCCCAACGAAAAGTGTTCCTTCTTCAGGGCCCCGACTGTACCATAGAAGTCGATTGGGTGGTGATCCGGAAGCCGTGGAAGTGGCGAGCGCAACGCGCAGGCAGACCACGGGGCGGCGGCGGCGAACTTGTAGACAGCGGCAGGCGGGCAGACGTTTTCAGCTGAGCATCTGAGCATCTGGAACACATCCAGTGGGCGGTGCGCCCGACCACGGCCCTTCCGCGCAGCGAGAGCATCCGCCCGAGCAGCCCGTGAGGCGCGGCGCAATCATGATGTCAGACGCCCCGAAGGTTGCGCAGAAGCTGAAGCATTAGCGCGCGGCTGGACTGGATCAAGCGCCGCTGGAGTTTTGGATGGCCGGGGCCGAAGATGGGGAGACAACTCTTTTCGGACTGTCAGATTATGCAGCGTTGCATGGTCGCAAACCTGCGTGCCATTGGCGCGGCGGACATCGGGGGTCGCATGATTTGCAAGACAGGCGGCCCGTCGGCCTGCGACAACTACAGGCCCATGATTTTCCTTCTAATGCGATTCAAAGTGTTTTCTTTTGATCTGGTTGGGAAGGTTGAGGGACGCAGGGGGCGAACATCGTGCGTGGCGTGAAGTCGTGTTCCTGCTAAGTGGGCTTTTGTTCTGCTAAGTGGGCTCCAGATGTGCTTGATCCAGTTGTCAGCTCCGCCTCCTGCTGCTGGTCTTGTTTTTCCTCCTCGTCGTCGTCCTCCTCCTCCTCCTCCTCCTCTTCCTCCTCCTGTCCTCCTCCCCTTCCTTCCTCTTTTCACGTCCTACTACCACCTCGTCCTCTCCCTCCTCCTCCTCCTTGCCTCCTCCCCCTCCCCCTCCTCTTCCTCCTCCTCCTCCTCCTCCTCCCCCTCCTCCTCCTCCTCCTCCTCCTCCTCCTCCTCCTCCCTCCTCCTCCTTGCCTCCTCCTTTCCTCCTCCTCCTCCTCCTCCTCCTCCTCCTCCTCCTCCTCCTCCTTTCCCCTCCTCCTCCTCATCCTCCTCCTCCTCCTCCTCCTCCTCCTCCTCCTCCTCCTCCTCCCTCTCCTCTGCCTCGTCGTTCTTCGGCGGCTTTCGGCAGCCCCTGGCGGCCTTCGGCGGCCCTCGGCGGCCCTCGTCGTGTTCCTGCTAAGTTCGCTTCCGATGTGCTTGATCCTGTTGCCAGCCCCGCCTCCTGCTACTGGTGTTGCACCGTGGTTCATGCCAAGTTGCACGGAGAGACCTGGAAAACAACTCCACATCCTCCTCATCGCGTTCCTTCTCGCCCTCGCTCTCTTTCTCTCTCTCTCTCTCTCTCTTTCTCTCTCTCTCTCTCTCTCTCTCTTTCTTTCTCTCTCTTGTTTCCCACGCATCCCCCACAGTGGAAGCCTCTGTCTCATGCCCATCTGCACTTGCATTTTGCATATGCTGCATTGCACTTGCATGGAATGCCATTGCATTGCATTGCATGGCATTGCATTACAACGCATGGGATTGCATTTCTGTTGCGTCACTTCCCATTGCGCTGCGTTGCGTTGCGTTGAGAGTTCCTCGCAACTCTGGGATCCAAGATGCCACGCGCGAAGTGGTCCAGTCGATTTTGCCTGAGACGTCCTCGCAACTCTGGGCTCAGATATGCCCCTAACCTGAGGATGTCCAGCCCGTTTCGCCTTAGACATACTCGCAACTCTTGGCTCAGACATGCCGAGCGCGAGGTGATCTGGAAAAGTTTATCCTCCCCAACTCTGCGAGATGCCGCGCGCGAGGTGGTCTGGCCAATTTCGCCTGAGACATCTTCGCAACTCTGGGCTCCCAGATGCCGCGCGCGAAGAGGTGCGGCCCGGCTCGCTTGAGGATCCTTGCAAATCCGGGCTCATATATGTCCTGGATTGATGTGGTTCGGGCCCATTTCGCCTGAGACCTCCTCGCAGCTCTGGGTTCCGAGATACCTCTCGCGAGGTGGTCTGGCCCATTTTCGCCAGAGGCATCATCGAAACTCTGGAATCGGAAATGCTCTGACTGAGT